AGTCAGTTACAGCCATGCCCCTATCAGCTCCCTTCTCCCTGAAGCAGACAACTGCTCCAGCCACTGCTCCAGCCACATCAGCCCCTCTCTTCACTGGCCTGGGCACTGCCACCTCCACGGTGGCCTCTGGCACCACAGCTTCTGCCCCAAAGCCTGTGTTTGGCTTTGGATTGAACACTATGGCTAGCACTGCCAGTGGTACCATGACTTCCACCTCCCAGCCACTTATGTTCGGGGGAGTGCCCCCTGTCACTGCTGCCAGCTCCTCCCCAGCCCTGGCCTCCATCTTCCAGTTTGGCAAGCCTGCCCCAGCATCATCTGTAGCAGGCACCTCCTTTAGCCAGTCCCTTGCCAGCTCTGTCCAGACAGCGGCCAGCAACAGTAGTGGCACTGGCTTCAGTGGCTTTGGCAGCACTATCACCACTTCCACTTCGGCCCCTGCCACCACCAGCCAGCCCACGCTGACCTTCAGCAACACTGTTACCCCCACCTTCAACATTCCCTTTAGCTCTAGTGCCAAGCCTGCACTCCCAGCCTACCCTGGAGCCAACCCACAGCCCACATTTGGAGCTACTGAGGGGACCACCAAGCCAGTGCTTGCCCCAAGCTTTGGCAGTTCTTTCACTTTTGGCAATTCTGTAGCCTCAGCCCCATCAGCAACTCCAGCACCAGCCACCTTTGGCAGTGCTGCACCACCGGCCTTTGGTGGGTTGAAAGCCACAGCCTCCACCTTTGGTACCCCTGCCAGCTCACAGCCAGCTTTTGGTAGCACTACATCAGTGTTTTCCTTCGGTTCAGCCACCACGTCTGGCTTTGGTGCCACTACTCAGACAACCAACAGCGGGAGCAGCAGCTCTTTATTTGGCAGCTCTACTCCATCCCCATTCACATTCAGTGGCTCAGCAGCTCCAGCTGGCAGTGGAGGCTTTGGGCTCAGTGCTACCCCAGGCACCAGCTCCACCTCTGGGACTTTCAGCTTTGGATCTGGACAGAGTGGGACCACGGGCACCACCACCTCCTTTGGGGGGAGCCTGAGTCAGAACACCCTGGGCACACCCAGCCAGAGCTCACCTTTCGCCTTCAGTATAGGCAGTACGCCCGAAAGCAAATCTGTCTTTGGAGGTAAGATTGGCAACATGGTAAGGGTTCATGCATAACCGTCTACATTGTTATAGGCCAGCTGATGATTCAAGCTAGTTAATGATGAAAAAAGGTTTTTGAAGGGCTAGAGAAAGGACTCAGTGGGTGAAAGAACTCAAATTCAGTTCTAGCACCCATATCAAATGGCTGTCAGCTGCCTATAGCTGCAGCCTCAAGGTATCTGCTGCCCCCTGGCCTCCACAGGCATTGCCCTGCACACACACATACATGTACACAAACTTTGTAAAAAGCTTAAAAGTGTATGTGTATGGGTCTTTTGCTTGCATGTATGTCTATATACCACACGTGTGCTAATGCCCATAGCAGCTACAAGAGGGTGTTATGTCTCCTGGGACCTACAAGTCGCCTTGTGGATGTTGGGAATTGAACTTAGGTTCTCTGGAACTACTGAGCTATCTCTGCAGCCTCCCTTAAGCCTTTGAGGAAGAAGGAAAGAATGTGTTTGATACGGTTTCTTACTGCAACCCAGGCTGCCTCAAATTCAAGATCTTCCTATTTCAGCCCCCCAATTGCTACGGTGATAGGCATCCATCCGCTGCAGGGGAGGGTGGTATCCGGGCATAGCAGCAGAAGCGGGAACAGTGGGTTCACGAGCAGAGGACGGGCAAGATGACTTGATGCTTGCATATAAGGATCTGAGTCCAGTCCCCCGTCCTCAAGAGTTTGGTGTGGCAGTGTGTACCAGTAATGTCAGTGCTGGATGTGTGGAGGTCAGCGGATCCCATGGACTCACTGGTCAGTCTGTCCAAAGTAACCAGCTCCAGGCCCTTGAGAGTCCTTTGTGGGGAAAAAACAAAGGAATGATTGACAGGTGACACTGTAAAGGACTGTTCCTAAGAGCCTGGACTTCTGAACCTCAGGAGTTGGGCTGAGTGTGGTGGTGCGTGTCTGTCATCCCAGCACTTAGGCTTGGGTAGGAGGTTGGAGAGTTCCAAGTCAGCCTGGGCTACCTAGCAGAAGAGCCAGTCTCAAAAAAAGCAGAAGAAAATGGGTGTTGTTTAAGTAGGAGGGGAGAGAAGGAGTCTGGAAGCATGACAGAGCTAGGCAGCCCTGAGATAATTGCACACAAGCTGGGGGCCATTCCCATAGGGCATCCTGGGAAGATTAGGGACCCTGCAGCAGGAGAGGGAAGGGGCAGGGCTGGGTTAACCTGACAGCCCCATGTTATACAATGGAGGGGTGGCAGAGGCCAGCTTCATCAGCACTGGGTTCTGGGTGATAGGCCTGATACCAGTCTAGTCTCTGCAACTTTTCTGTCTCTCCCCTCTAGGCACATCCACACCCACTTTTGGGCAGAGTGCCCCTGCTCCTGGAGTAGGCACTGCAGGCAACAGCCTCTCATTTGGGGCCTCTTCAACACCTGCCCCAGGCTTTGTTGGAGTCGTACCTTTTGGTAAGCAGCCAGTCTGTTGCCAGCATGACACCTCTGTCCCTTGGATGAGGAGTGCTCATTCAAGAATAGCAGGTTGCTGGCCCTCAGGGTCCAGGGGAGGACAGCAGAATTGAGTCGTCTCAGGAAACTCAAGTGTTTGGGAAGCCAAGTGCTGGTGTTCTATGTTTTTTTGTTGTTGTTGTTGTTGTTGTTTTTAAGACATTTGTTTTTATGTGCATTGGTGTTTTTCTGCATGTTATCTGTGTAAGGGTGTCAGATCCTCTGGAATTGGAATTGTAGTTTTGAACTGCTATGTCAATGCTAGGTTGGGTCTTTTGGAAGAGGCCACCTCTGTAGCCAAGAACTGTGAGGGCTGCCAACAGCCTCAGAAGCCCTAGTGGAAAACCTAGGCTTCTGCTGTTGACTTGACTTCCTAGAGCAAGGCACCAGCATATTTTCTGTGGTGGCAGCTGCCCTGATACTGTCTTGTCAACTCTTTCTAGGATCAGCAGCTCCTTCATTTTCCATTGGCGCTGGATCCAAGACCCCAGGGGCTCGACAGAGACTTCAGGCCCGAAGGCAGCATACGCGCAAGAAGTAGCCTGCCTCTTGTCTCCACTCCCCTAGCCCTTGCCCGAAACTGGACCTCAGCACCTGCTAGGAAGAGCCTCTGACCCTTCAAATTCCATAGCAAACCCAGCCCATCAGCAGGGCAGAAATGGCAGCCTGGCCCTTTCTGTTCTAGAGGTTGCCCCAGGAGGGGCAGAAGCCCGACACTGTACTTGAACAGTCACACTGGTGAGGCTGGAGAACTGAAGAAACAGCTGTACATATCGTCCTCCTGCTGCCCCAGCGCTTGTTTAGTGTAACCTAGGCGGCCTTCCCCTTGCCTTGAGCGCCATCTCTGCTGGAGAGTGCCTGGCACCCACTTGGATCCCTAGTATACATTGGATGGGATTGGGGGAAACAGAATGTCCCTACGCTTTGCTTGGCCATAAGAAGTGGTTCTCTTCCTCTGGTTCTTTCAGTCTCTCCCTATTTCTTGCTGCTTTGTCCTTCACCAGTCCTCTGAGAGATTCATTTCTTTTAAATGGCAGTGAATCTTGCTTTGCCTTGGAGACCCCAGTGTGCCCTGCTCTGCCTCTTCTGCCAAGTCCATTTCATCTCCAGCCCTCTGCCAGTCCAACCTCTAAAAGGTTGGTGGCTCAAGACTGTTAGCCTGGTAGGGCCAGGGGAGAAGTTTGCTCCAGGAAGTCCTGGAGCAAGCAGACCACTCACCACCGCTTCTAGCTGCCTCTTCACCTGCCCACACCCCATGGGCCACTTTGCCTCCTTGGGATTGTATTTTCCAAGCCTTGTACCTTGTTTGTCTGATGTTAATGTGTGTTGCTCCTTGAATCGAGTTTGGAGGAAGAATTGAATTGTATGTGTGGCGGCATGTTGAAAATGCCGGACTTAATGTCGCCTGGGCCCTCCTGGGCCTAGCTAATTGAATGCTGAAAGTGGCACCGCGTGACAGGCACCGTGCTGACTCCTGAATTCTCAATAGTGTTTTGACTTAAGGGCTGGCAGCCCAGGGGACGAGCCTATTAGGAGCAAAGACTTCCCTCTGTTGGTCCTCCCCGACATATCCTACTCCAGGCAAGGGCGTCTTCAGCCCGTGTTTGGAGTTCTAGATTAATGGCCACACTTAGGGGCCCGTAGTTGTATCTGTCTCTTTCCAAAACCACGCCCTTAGGCCCCAGAGCCTGGCTGCCATGTCCATCCTTTTTGGGAGAAGTATGAATGCGTGTGTCTAAATTAAAAAAAAAAAAAAAAATATTTAAACATTTTTTTAACAAAATAAAAATTTATTTTTATATTTAAGCTAAATTGCCTTTTAAATTCCTTCAAGCTTGGTTCACTGAGGTGGTTAAGTATAAATGCTATTGAATAGTAGGAATTAGGTGTAGTTATGCCTGTGTGAAGGAGGGGCTCATAACTCCCCAGCAGCTCTCCTGAGGGGGCAGAGCTTCTTCTGGACTGTCGTATAAACAATGTGATGTAGCTGTAACTACCCCTTCCCTTTGTGACTGGGTTGAATGTTTTGTGGCAGCGTTAAACTTGGGGTTGTGTGGAGCTGGGAAAGAGCTGAACCTCAAGTCCCAAATGCCTGTGAGGATAGGGATGGGTAGGGGTCTGCACAGGAAGCCTCTGCCTATGCCTCAGGTAAGGAAGGGGCCTCCCTGAAATTCAGTCTGAGCGAATTACCTCAGCTCCACAGCAGGCCTGTATCCAGGGCTCCTGAAGAGGCGTCCTGGCATAGCCTTGGTGTGTGAGCACATTTGTCCGTGCTCACGCTGGACAGGGACAGGGAGGCTGGGGCTTCCCACCACAGACTGAGTTCCTGTGAGTGTAGCTGAGATTTTTAGTATGAATTTGAGATTGTTCTTGCTTATGTCATTAAAAATAAAACTGTGATCTGTCATAGATCTGAGTCTGCTCTTTATTTGTGACACAAAGAACTCTTGACTGGTAGAACTGTGTCCAGGAGAGACCCACAGTGCTAGGACATCATCTCCCTTTCCCAGAGGGGCAGGGTTTCCATGGTGAGGATGGTTTTGTTCGCTGGAGGGCTCACAGCACTATGTGCCTGGCTGCGTGCTGGCACCAGCTGCTACTTTGCATCTTCTCTTTCTCTTTGGTGCTTGGCTGAGAGGTTCTGGGGCTGCTGCTTTGGCCTGTGGGACTGGGCTGTAAGAAAAGGCCAGAGGTTAGCAGGTGTGAAGCGCTACTTTAATTCTAGCTCAGGAGGCAGAGGCAGATCTTTTGAGAGAGTTTGAGGCCAGCCTGGTCTACCTACATAGTTCTAGGCTGACGAGGGTCACATGGACTCTGCCTCAACAAAAACGAGCATAGCTTCTCACTCACCTTGGCACTACATCTCCCCGTTCAAACACAGCAATGAAGAAGCCACCAGTGAGCGTGGTCTCTGGGGAAGCCCGGAGGCAGTGTTCAGACCCTGGAAAGGTACTCAGACCTCGGTGAGGCCAGTCCGGTAGGACAGGAGCCAATCTGTAAAGAAGGAAAGGACTTAGACCCTGGTGAGGAGCAGCCTGTGACCTCTCAGATCCTAAGGACACCGTTACCTGAAGGTCCCCAGGTTCTGCTGTAGAGCCTCTTGGACCACGTCTTCATTCTCTTCTTGGGAAAGGGAACATGTGGAGTAGACTAGGCGCTGCAGAGAGGGGAAGGTGAGTGCGTGGCACAGAGCCCGCTGCTGGAACCCTGCCAAGGCCTGCAGGCGCTCCTTGCTAGGTGTGGCCCCTCCCTGTTCCTCCAGCTGCCGGCTCAGCATACCTATGGAGAAGGAGCTGCAGTTATGAAGCCATTTCCCAACAGAATCCCCATTTTATAGATGAGAGCATTAGCCTGTAGTCACAGGTAATATCAACACTAAATGGTAGCCTTCAGCATCCAAGTTACTGTGGGACTATGACCACAGCCACCCTGTCCCCATCTCACCAGAACCACTACAGGAAGGATCCAGCAAGATGTACTGGACCTGGCTGTAACGCTGGTCAGAGGGAGAAACTGTCAGGAAGTCCTTCTCTGCTATCTCGCAGCAAGAGACCCCAGCCCGAGCCAACAAGGTAGCCATGGCCGCCAGCCGCTTAGCATCCTGGTCGAAAGCAAAGATCTTCCTGGGGAAAAGAGCAGGGGCAGAATGAACTGAGAAATTCTTTTCAATTAAGACTTCTAAGTGTCTGTGTGCCACATGAGTGCAGGTGCCTGTGTGCGCCAGAAAAGGATGTTGGAACCCAAGGAGCTAGAGTTAACAGATGTTGTGAGCCACCTGACACGGGTGCCGAGTACTGAACTCGGGTCCTCTGGAAGAGCAGCAAGTGCTCACTGAGCCATTTTGCCAGCTTCTGAACTGAAAATTTATGGGGCATGGAGGCCCACAGATACCATCAAACCATAATGTAGGCTAAATCAGCACACAGGTCTGGGGATGTGGCTCAGTAATAGAGGGCTTACCTAGAATCTCCCAGTGAGGGGCTGGGGTGTGGCTCAGTGGTAAAGCCCCTGCCTAGAATTCCCCAGTGAGGGGCTGTAGATCAGTGTAGAGCACCTGCCTAGAATTCCCTAGTAAGGTGCTGGGGTGGGGCTCAGTGGTAGAGCACCTGCCTAGAATCTCCCAGTGAGGAGCTGTGGGCATGGCTCTGGTAGAGTGCTCACCTAGTATGTATAAGGCTTTGAGGATTCAATCCCCAGTATACTACCACCCAAAACCAAAAAGCTGGGACACAACTTATTTAAATGGCCTACAGAGGTCCCTCCCACAGACAACCAGCCTGGAAAGAGCCCCAAGGGCTGAGGGAATTTTGTCTCATACCAGTAGCCTGGCTTGGGACTATGAGCTGCTTGGGCCTCTCACCTGTATCATTCAGTGAAACTTTTCCCTACAAAGCACAAGATTCAACCTCACCCCTCCCTCTGCCTCAAAGCTTACCACCAGCACTCACCCCTGATTCTTCAAAAGGGCTGCAACGTAACTGGTCTTGTTGCCAGGGGCAGCACAGGCATCAATGACATGGGAGCCTGGTGGAGGTGATAGCAGCATGGCTGGGAGACAGCTGGCCTAGCAGAGAAGACAGTAGGCAGCTGGGTGAACACAGAGCCCTGAAGTCACTTTCCCATCCTTCCTCCCCTTCCCCCACCTGTCCTCCCTACCTTATCCTGCAGGATGAGATGTCCAGCATGGTAGAGCGGATGCTCATGCATATCTGTCTGTGCAGGAAACACAAGAAGCTCAGGCAACAAGGGGTCCAAAAGAAAATGTTGCCCCTTGAGAGTTCGCAAGTCCTCCAGGCTGCAGGGAACACCACTGGTTAGGTTTTGTTTGTTTTCTTTTTGGAGACAGAGTTTCTCTGTGTAGCCTTGGCTGTCCTGGACTCACTTTGGGTTTTTTGGTGTTTTGGTTTTTTTTAATTCTATTTTTTAGATTTATTTATTACTTATATAGTGTTCTGTCTGCATGTATCCCTGCCCACCAGAAGAAGGCACCAGATCTCATTATATATGGATATGAGCCACCATATCATTGCTGGGAATTGAACTCAGGACCTCTGGAAAAGCAGTCAGTGTTCTTAACCTCTGAGCCCTCTCTCCAGCCCCCGGACTCACTTTGTGGACCAGGCTGGCCGCGAAATTATAGAGGTCACCTGTCTCTGCCTCCCAAGTGCTGAGACTAAAGGCTTGCGCTACAACTACCCAGCTTAGGGGGTCTTGGCTTACAGCTAAAGAGGCTATGATCTAGACAGGACACTGAAAAGATGGGAGACAGCAACTGAGCTAGAGAAAAAAATGCTGGAGGGGCTAGAGACATGGCTCAGCAGTCAGGAATACACACTGCTCTTGCAGAGGAAGGACCTAAGTTCTGTTTTCTAGCACCATGTCCAGCAGCTCAGCAGCTCACCTGCTTGTAACTCCAGCTCCAAGAGGGTCTAGTGCCCTCTTCAGGAACATGTACACACTCACACATAGACATATATACTTATGCATCATTTAAAACAACATCTTTTTTGGAAGGAAAATGTTGTTGTAAAAGTAGGAAGAACATCTAGAGAAAGCAGTCACTAGCTTCCAGTCTCTCTCCGTAAACTCCAACTGCCTTAAGACTCTGGACATAGGGGAAAATGAAGGCACCCAGACAGGATGCTCAGCTCTCACCTGGAAGCCCGGCCCTGGTAGGAGAAACCTTGTCTCTTGAAATAATCGATCGCATCCTCAGGGCAGGTCTTGAGCGTGTTCACACGCACGAACCGAGGCACCTGGCAGGCTAAAAGCCACAGCAGTGGGTGGGAAGGAAGGCAAGCCCCTCCTGAGGGCCATCATCCTCCTACCAACCTCCAGTTTACCTTGGCCAGGTCTGGATTTCTCTTCCAACAGGTCCTCATTTCGGCTCACACCTCGATGAACCTTGAGCCTGGCCAACTCGGCCTTGAGCCTTGCCTGATGGCGGCCCAGCAGGGCCTTCCATCGGCCTCCACCCCCTCGGAAACCCTTCCCTAGCAGCAATTCATACACTAACACCTGAACAGAGAACAAACAAACAAAAACCAATATTAACACCACAGAACCCTCCAGTGGGAGGATTAAGTATCTGTCCAGATGGTCATGTCAAGGGGATTTTCTTGCCCAAGAGCACACAAGAAATTAATGGCATGGAGTGAGGGTAAATGCCTATAATCCCAGCAAACATCAGATGCGGAAGCAAGAAGACTACATGCTAGCCCGGTGGTGGTAGCACATACCTTTAATCCCAGCACTTGGGAGGCAGAGGCAGGCAGATCACTGAGTTCGAGGCCAGCCTAAGTGAGTTCCAGGGCAACCTAGACTACACAGAGAAACCCTGTCTAAAGAGGAGGAGGCCATAAGTTGAAGATCAACCTTAGTTACTAATTTAAGACCTTCTGGAACAATTTAGCAGGACTGTCTCAAAAAACATAACAAAGGCTGGGCACATGTAGCTCAGTAGAACCTGCCTAAAATCTCCAAATGAAGGGCTGAGGGTGTGGCTTAAAGACTTACCATCGGTATAATTTATCATTGAATAGACTCAGAGCAAGGCTCAGCAGTAGGGTAGAATGCTTGCCTAGTATCCACCAGAGAAGGAATGGGGGTTGTAGCTGAGCAGCAAGCACGCGTCTAGAGTGCCCCAGTGAGAGGCTGGGGGCATGGCTCAGGGATATAACACCTGTCTAGAATCTTCCAATGATGAATTAGTAGCTCAGTGATAGACCTCTTCCCTGGCATGCTGGAGACTCTGGGGTCAATGCTCATCATTACAAAAAGAAAGACAGATAAACAGAAGAGAGCAGATTCAGCATTGAAACGCGGTGTCCTGCCTCCCTACCCCCGAGAGCCACCTGTTCAGCAGAGCTCTAGACCCCAGCCTTCCCTGCCATCATCACCCTGCGCCCCTGTTCTATTCAACCCTTCATGCAATGCCCCTGGTGGGGTCACACCTGTCCCCGCTCAATTCGGATCCCAGAAAAGAGGTGCAAGACGTACGCACGGGTGCCAGCCTCCGGCCGCCACTCACCTTGGCCAGGTGCGGCCGCAGCTTCTTCTCGGCTCGAAGGAGCCCGGCGCTGGCGATCACCGCGTCCAGCACGGCCGAGTAGCGCTGCGTCTCGCACACCAGCGCGTACAACTGTTTCACGTTCTGGGTGGCAGAGGGGGAGACGCGCTGCACCCAACACGGGCCCCACCTCTCCCGCCCGCCAGGGCCCCGCTCCCCAACCCTCCTTCTCTCCCTTCCTCCCTGCACGCGGCCCACTACCTGGAAGCTGCTGGAATACACCAGGCTCTTGAGGGAGCCCTGGCGTTGCTCCACGCCGGCCAGCACCGCCGCCGCGGTGGCATACAACCCCATGCTCTCGCAGCCGCAATGTCTTTACGACGCTGTCGCAAAGCTGGGCGTGGCTTTGCGGCCCCTGCCACAGCCAGTGCAGCCGGACTTCCGGAGACCAAAGGCTCGCGCCTTTATTAGACTCCGGAGAAGGTAGTTGCTTTTCATTCTGAGCATCCAAATAGAAATTTTAAAGCCGGGCGTGGTGGCTCGTGCCTTTAATCCTAGCCAGCGGGAGACAAAGACAGAGGGATCTCTGTGAGTTCGAGGCTAGAAATCCAGAGCTACATAGTGAGACCCTGTCTTAAAAGACTAAAAAAGAAAAAAAAGAGCTATTCTGTTTTCTTTTTATAAGTCCATGTAGTTATTTTATAGTTTTTTTGTTTTGTTTTGTTTTTTTTGTGTCTTATCGAGACTGGGTTTCTCTGTGTAGCTCTGGCTGCCCGCACTCTGTAGACCAGGCTGGCCTCAAACTCAAGAGATCCTCCCGCCTCTGCCTCCCTCCGCCCGGCCCTATTTTGTAGTTTTTAAAGACTGGAACTCCTAACAGCCGTGATTCAGCCTCCCCCAATGATAGGGTGGAAGGTTCAGTGATAAAGCATCTGAGAGGTTCGAAGTGTTGCTCGGTGGTAGAGCACTTGCTTAGGACCCCCCCTGTGAGGAGCTCCGGGTGTGGTTCATGGTAGAGGGCCGCCTAGACTCACCCAGTGAGGAGTTGGGGTGTGGCTCAGAGGTAGATTACCCGCCGTAAGTCTGCTAATGTGGGTTGGGAGCTGTTGAGCACCCACCTAGTAAAGGTGGGCCTCGGGGATTCTACCCCCAGCACTGAAAAGAATACACTAGACTGTTCAACAGTATATAGGGCAGAGATTGTCGCTAGGAGCAGAGCACTTGCCTGGCAGGTGCAAATTGATCCCTGGGATCAATACGCAACATTGATGAGGAAGAGGAGGGGGAGAAGGAGGGCTGGTGGTGTAACTCAGTCAATAGAGGCTTTGCCTAACAGGCAGAAAGCCTTTGGTTGTGGTCTCTGTATAAACCAAGCATGATGGCACATGCCTGTATCCCAGCATGCAAGAGGTGGAGGCAGGAGGATCAAGAAAGAGTCCAAGATAATCTTTGGCTAGCTTGAGACTATGTATCAAAATAATCGCAGTACTCGAGGCTGAGAGGTGATTAGATGTTAAGGTACTATTCCCCGACCTGTTAGGCTGCTCGGAACTCCGCTCCCAGGGATCCCATAGCTTCTTCTGGCACAGCACCCCCAAACATACACCTAATTAAAAATAAAATATTGAAAATAGTAGTGTAATAATGAGAAAAATATCAAATGTATTGTTTTTAATAGATGTTTGAGGGTCCTTGTGATAAAATATGTGTGGGAATGTTTCTGCCCTCTGCTGGAAGAGTTGGGATACACAGGGCTGCTCCATAGGTTGAGTGGATACAGAGTAAAGGTGAAAGACAGCATGCATCTCCCTGGGTGGTGGGGGAGGAGCTATAGTCCCTGCTTTAGGGTCATGCAGGTGTGAAGAACCTTGTCAAGCAGTCCAAACTTTTGAGGCCCAGCAGAACCCCTCAAATCCTTCTGTCTAGCAACATGGACCAATGGGTAGACAGCACCAGGACAGCCTATGGCTGTGCCGAAGTGAGATGGCCAGGCCCACTGGGTGGGGGCAGTACCATGGGCAGTGAGTTGCTGCCCCTCTCATGCCAACATGTGTCCAAGATGGGGTAGAGCTTGCCCTGGAAGTCAGCCTGGAAGGTGTAGAGTGTCCGTAGATCATCGGGGCGGTCGGCATCAAAGAAGGTGAGCTCACCCTGCTCGTAGTGTAAGTAGACGCCGATACGATGGGGGTGGCCGGCCACAGGCAGTGGCAGCCTCGGGCAGCCAAAAGCCTCGTATACCCGACCCTCTTTTAGGCCAATTAGCCATACGCCGTGCTCTGGGGACTTGCTCAGCTTGCCCTTTCGGCTGACTGTGCCCTTGATGACCCCCAGGCGCCAGTCGCTCTTGCTCCCCACCACCACCTCCCAGTAGTGGCGACCCCAAGAGAAGCCCTTGTCAGCCAGGACACAGGTGCTGTAGTCAAAGCGCTCTGGCTGGCTGGCTCGTCTCTGGGCAAGGAGACCAAAATGCACCACTGTGTTGCCCTTAGAGAGCTCCAGGAGAGGGTGCGCAGTAGCTGGGTCCAGCTTGAGAGATTCTGGAGCTAGAAGAGAAAGAGGCCTGTAGTTGGGTCACAGAGAACCCACAAACCCTAGCCAGGAGGTGACAGCAAGCCCTGTGTCCTCAAGGGGAACTGCTGACTCTATCCCAGCACCTGGGAGGGGCAGGCACAGGGCTGTATGGATGGAAGGGTGGGTGGATGAAAGGATGGATGGGATGTAGGTGGGTAAGTGGATGATATGGGTGAGTGAGTTGGTGGTTGGATGATGCCTGAAGCACATCAGACAGAGCCACTGTGAAGGAGTTCTGCTAAAGGACAGGTGTGTACTGCTCTGCAAGTCTATGTGACTATGCAACCACTCCCACACTCTCCTCACTACCCCACGCAAGGCTCCCCTTAAGTTTGCTGCATGCTTCTTGGTGCTGTCGATGAATTGGGAGGCTTACCTGGAAGAACTTTCCGGAAGAGCCTCTTCCACACAGTCAGTTTGATGTCGGCCTGGTGGAGACCTGGCTTGAAGGAGATTGGGCTGAACACGACTTCCAAAGGCCGAGCCTGCTGGACCTCTGCCCTGTGTGCATGAGCCCCAGTGGTTGAAGAGCTTGGTAGCAAGGCTGCCTCCCGCCCTCGTTCCCATGTGGAAATCCACCACTCAGATCACACATTCATGACATCACCATTCCCTATCTTTTCACCTCCTTCCTGGAGAACATGCCTGATTCCTAGAATTGGGACTGTTGGATGCTGAAGAAGTCCTGAATCCAAAGTGCAGGTGAAGTCTTGAGGGAATGTGATCGTGACATTGGCGTGGCCCAGAGCAAGGACCTCAATGACTAGACCCATGGAGTGGCAACGCCTTCCTCTTGTCCCAGTGCAAATGTTGACAGTGTGTAAAAGCTTGCATGTTTACAAAAGATTGACTCGTGTCTGCAAAAACTGCAGATTCCTCCTCCCAGATGTTTGCAGTTTAAGACTGCAGGCCTACAGACACCTCCTCTTCACTCCCCCCTTGTTAGAGATGCAGCCCTTTGTGCTGCGCTTTATATACATGCAAAGATTCCAGGTCACTATGTAGGTGATGCCAGTGTGTCAGAGTATATATGTCCACCTGACTCCAGCTTCTCTCTCTGCTGCCCAGTCACGCAGGACGCAATAGGAGATACTGCACAGCTGCTGTTCTGCATAGACCTGGCTCCGCAGGCTCATGTGCTGACACTTGTGAGCTGGTAGTGCTGTTTAGAAAGAGGGGCCTGGCTGCTGGAACTAGGTCACTGCAGTAGGTCTTTGAAGGTTATACCCACCTCTGGCTTCAGCCTTATCTCTCTGCTTCCTATCTGCCTCCATGTGAGCAAGCCATGACTGTCACACCGTCCTGGACATGGTGGACTGAAATCCCTCTGAAGCCAAAATAACTCCCCCTTCCGTCATCTGCATTAGGTAATTCGGTCTCAGCAAGGTTACTATACAACAGTAGTTCTCAGAGCACGGGTCTGGGGAACGGGAGTCTGGTTTCCTGGGAACTTGTTAGAGATGCAGACCCTTGGGCTTTGCCCCAGATCTGCTGATCGGAAACTGATCACCCTGGGAAAGTGGTGCTATGTGCTTTAGCCGGCCCGCCAGGTGTTTCTGTCCGGTGCTGACACCTGAGACCACTACATCAAGTGACCTGGTTCCTCACTGTAGCTGGGGACCAGCCAAACTAGGCAAGTTGTCTGTGTGTTCATTTCCATCTGTGCTCTCTAGGCATGTGGCCCCAAAGACTAAAGGAAACAAAGAAAACAAGAAGGGCAGGCTGGGAGATAGCTCAGTGGGTAAATTGCCTGTCTGGCAAGAATGAAGGCCTGAGTCCAATCCCCAGAACTTGTATAAAACAGCCAGTCGTGGTGGTTAAAACAATGGCTCACTAGTTAAGAGCACTTGTAGTTAAGAGCACTTGCTCTTGCAGAGGTCCTGGGTTCAGTTCCCAGCACACACATGGCAGATGACAACTGGCTGAAACTCCAGCTCCAGGGGCTCCAGCTCCCTCTTCAGAGTACACCGTTGGTGCACAGACACACATGCAGGCAACACATTCATCACACAAAATAAAAGGACACATCTTAAAAAGCAAAGCATGGTGGCGCATGCTGGAAAGGTGGGAAGAGACAAATCCCTGGGGCTTTTGACCAGCTGGCCTAGCTCATGTGGTGAGCCTGGGCCACTGAGAGACCCTGTCTCAAAAAGCAAACAAAAAACCCCAAACAAGGTGGACACTGTCTGAAAACAACAGCCAAGGATGTCCTCTGGCTTTCACAGCCATAAATGTGCATGCACACCACACACATAAAGAAAACTAGGAGGGCCGGGAGAGGTGGCTGAGTGGTTAAGAGCACTGGCTGCTCTTCCAGAGGACCCAGGTTCAATTCCCAGCACCCGCATGGCAGCTCTCAGCTGTCTGTAATTCTAGTTCCTGGGAATTCAATGCTGTCTTCTGGCCTCTGTGGGCCATTCACACAGACATACATGCAGGCAAAATACCCATTCATATAAAATAAGAATTTAAAAAGAAAGAAAAGGAGCTGCATATCAACCAGTTCTGAGGAAGGCTCAGAAACCGTTGAGTTTTCCAGCACTAATACGGACTCACTCTTCCTCACCCCCAAGGTTTGAAGAGCATACTTCAAGGGCCCTCATTCTGGTTTTGCCTTCCTCTCCTCTTCCCTTCCTCACACATAATAGTTGACTCCACCGAACTTTGTCACATCCTGTGGTCCGCACACAACCTCACCCCCGTTTCTCGAGATGGCTCCCACTCTGCCTACCTGCACACTTCAGCCTTCTCAGCTGTCACACCTACATGCCTTTGCCAGTCCCTGGCCATCA